GTGCAAATGGGTAACTTAGCTGCTAGCCAAGCCAAGTAGTTAGTGGTTCATGTCCACTCACAAAAAAAGGCCTGCTGATCTACTTCTGAAAAATCAACAGTTAAAAGCCCTATGGCGCAGAGTTGTACTCTGACACAAATGAGGTCACCAAGAGTCGGAATGGACTTAAGGGCAACTACTTGATGCGTCCTAAAGGAAGGGGGAAATGCCTGTCAAGTAAATGGCCTAGTATAGATAATGGAGGTACATACACATTCTACTTAAAGGAATAAACTTTTCAAGACCTTTGGAAAGATACTTTCATATATGTGCTATATATCTCTATCATTACAAATCAAGTCTTACTAAAAGTGAAATTGCCAAGTACAGGCTCAGTTGCTATTGTCAGCACATAAAAATAAATTTCCTTAAATATCATTAATTCAGGCCAGCTGTCCCACTTACCCCAAATTTAAGGGAAAAAGAAGTTTTTTTTGTACACATTTGCTAGAAGTTTCAAATCACAAGGGTAAAGGATTGCCATTACCAAGCAATACTGAAGACCATACGATGTGCTACCCTTAAAATGTTAATACATTCAGCACATAGAATTGACAAAGTTAACTTTCTTCATTCTTGCGAGATAAGAATCATCACCACTTTTGTAGAAGGGATAATGGAATGTATTAACTGAAGCCCAAATATCTGCTTATATTGTGAAATCAAAGCCAATTCATGTCTTGCTACTAAAATAATAATTGTCGTCAATTTGAGTTTTTACCTGGCTGTACTGTCTTAAACTTGACCTAGTGCTACATTACTATCTGGTTTAGGTTACTTTTACACCAAACTTAGAGACAAATGCATCCTTTTCCTTAATTTTAGGTACTAGATTCTTTTTTGGTAGATTCTTTTCACCTGAACTTAAAACTCAAGTGCGCAATTTGGGCTGTAAACCTGGGGAAGAGGCCCCAGGTGGTCTCCTTTTAGCCTTACCTCTAGAACTTGAGCCGGAGATGGTTGTGGAGTGCCATGTGGAGTTCTGGGGAATCCCTTGTGGTCGAGTCCGTCAGGCCAAGGCCAGGCACTCAGCAGTGATGTTTTGGAAGCAAAGTCCCAACAAAGGTGAATAACGTTTGTCTAAAAAATGTGAAAGTACTGAAAGTAGAAATGTACTTTGCATTTGAATTTAAAAAATAATATAGCTCAGCTCTTCCTTATG